GGGGTCAATATTAACTTATTAGTAACTACAGTAAGACTAGTGGGAGGGGTTAATATTAACTTATTAGTAACTACAATAAGACTAGTGGGAGGGATTAATATAAACTTATTAGTTACTACAGTCAGTCTAGTGGGAGACGTTGATATTAACTTATTAGTAGTTATTACATGGAAGGGGTTAATATTAACTTATTAGTTACTACAGTGAGACTAGAGTGAGGGGTTAATATTAACCTATTAGTTACTACAGTGAGACTAGTGGGAGAGGTTAATATTAAATTATTAGTTACTACATGGGAGGGGTTAATTTTAACTTGTTAGTTACTACAGTGAAACTAGTGGGAGAGGTTAATATTAACTTATTAGTTACTACAGTGAGACTAGTGGGAGAGGTTAATATTAACTTATTAGTTACTACAGTAAGACTAGTGGGAGAGGTTAATATTAACTTAACAGTTACTACAGTAAGACTAGTGGGAGAGGTTAATATTAACTTAACAGTTACTGCATTAAGACTAGTGGGAGAGGTTAATATTAACTTAACAGTTACTACAGTAAGACTAGTGGGAGAGGTTATTATTAACTTAACAGTTACTACAGTAAGACTAGTGGGAGAGGTTAATATTAACTTAATAGTTACTACAGTAAAACTAGTTAGAGGGGTTAATCACACACTATCTTGAAGAAAATGCAACATCACATCACCACTGTAGTTAAGGTTTATCTGCATGAAGTTTTATGTACAGATTTATCATCATATATTTATAATGCCCAAAGGATGATTCATTGGTTTAGAATATTGAAATGACTTTTGAATGAGAAAATGTTTTTAGAAGACTGACACCAAGTGATAACAATAAAACAAGAATAATCTTATATAATCATTGAAAAAAATACATTTATATACCATAATGTTCAAAGGAAAAGAGAAAGAAAAAAAAACCAATTACCACAAAGGAATATATAGATACCAATTAAAACTAGAGGCTCTAATGAGCCTGTGTCACTCACCTGCATCTTCAACAATGGCCACTTTTATGTAAAAAGCATCATTAAGGGGAATAACTCTATAAAGAGTTAATTGATAATTTCAGTCATGTTGACATATTTGTAGATCTTATCCTGCTGATAATTATTCCTTTTTAAAGTGTCTATCTATCTATTATAATTTTCAAGATAATGGGCAAAAAATGCAAAAAAATGTAAAAAATTATCATTAAAGGGCAATAATTCCAGTAACAAGTTATTGAAGATTTTGGCCATTATAGCTTACTTGTGGATCTTGTCTTGCTGATCATAAGTGTTTTTTAAAGTTTCTATCCATCTATTACAGTTTTCAAGATAATAGGCAAAATTGGGAAAAATCGTCATTAAAGGGCAATAACTTCAATAAGGAATCGACTAACAATTTCGGTCCTGTTGACTTATTTGTAGATCTTGTCTTCCTGATCATTTTTGCTATTTAAAGTTTCTATCTGATCTGATATAGGTTTTAGATAAAAAATGTATGAGGCAAAAACGCAAAAAAAAATTGGTAACAATCGTCATTATAAGGCAATAACTCTAATAAGGAGTCGACTGAAGATTTTAACAATGTTTGACTTATTTGTAGATCTTGTCTTGCTGATCATTTTTGATATATTAAGTTTCTGTTTATCTATTATAATTTCAAGATAATAGAAAAAAAAATTGTAAAATTGTAAAATTCATCATTTAAGGGCAATATCTCCTATAAGAAGTCATCTGACAGTTTTAAAGTAAATGAACAATAGTTTAAGCTCAACATTCTGAACATTTCTGCCCCGTCAGATTTTCTCTTTTTATAGCCGTTTTCAAAATGATAGGCAAAACTTGCATTTTACCCCTATGTTCTATTTTTAGCCATGTCGGCCATCTTGGTTGGTAGATGGGGGTCATAGGAAACATTTTTTTTAAACTAGATACCCCAATAATGATTGTGGCCAAGTTTGATTAAGTTTGGCCCAGTAGTTTCAAAGGAGAAGATTTTTGTAAAAGTTAACAGACGGCGACGGATGACGGATGCCAAGTGATGAGAAAAGCTCACTTGGCGTTTTAGGCCAGGTGAGCTAAAAAAGATATATCTATGAAAACAGACAACTTGATCAAACTATTCATAGCAATCAAGCCCTGATGTTAGAAGTGATTATTATTGTTTGTTTGACAATCTGATTTGTGTTTTCAGATGATAAACATGTATTTTAATAAAAATAAATAAATCAAATTCATTCAGCAACAGCATGAAATAAAACTACATACTGTAAACAGGGAAATATTCGCGGCAGTTTTATTTTCGCTATTTTTGCGGTAAGAATTGAAACGCGAAAAATAAAACGACCGTGAAAATTTCAAGGAAACTCTATTCATAAGACAAAGACTAAACATGTATGAATAGGAAATTTAGAGGACCACTGTATAACTCCGATTTTACAAACGACAGATCTACTTAGTATATCGAAAATCAAAACTGTATTTCTAAATGATAAAATCATAACTTTAACTCAAGTTAATCTGATTAACACGGAAGACATCTCACGTAATCAGACATTACGGATATTATTATGTAAACACCTTTCTTTACAAATATGGAAATGACACCTGTCAATCAGTTTTAAGATTATTACCCCATTGTATCTGCTACACAGATTAATCAGTTCAAAAGAACTATTAATTAGCATTAATCCTGACAGCATTTAATTCACTCTTAATTATGTAACTAACTAATGATGTGACATTTATTTTCTTTAACATTAATGAACCGACAAAAAAGATTTCTGTTTGATTTTATCACTTGATTTAAAATACACGTAAAAGCTGCTCACTTTCCAAATCATTTATGAATTTATTTCTATAGGCCACTGGGACATCGCGAATTCAAAACAGCGCAAATTCAAATTGTGTCAATGAATCGTGAAAAAAGACGGCATGAAAATTTCCCGGTTTACAGTAATAAGAATCGGGTTTTAATAACAAATACATGCCCATAACAAAAATATATTCCAAAAAATTTTAATCTCACTGCACCTGATGTGTATTCACATACATGTAGAGAAGATAACTGAAATCTAGCTAACCAGCCAGTGTCTATAGGTATTTGATTGCACTTGATGTGTGTACACACATACATGTAGAGAAGATCACTGAAATCTAGCTAGCCAGCCAGTGTCTATAGGTATTTGATTGCACTTGATATTTGTACTCACATACTTGTAGAGAAGATCACTGAAATCTAGCTAGCCAGCCAGTGTCTATAGGTATTTGATTGCACTTGATGTGTGTACTCACATACTTGTAGAGAAAATCACTGAAATCTAGCTAGCCAGCCAGTGTCTATAGGTATTTGATTGCACTTGATGTTTATACTCACATACTTGTAGAGAAGATCACTGAAATCTAGCTAGCCAGCCAGTGTCTATAGGTATTTGATTGCACTTGATATGTGTACTCACATACTTGTAGAGAAAATCACTGAAATCTAGCTAGCCAGCCAGTGTCTATAGGTATTTGATTGCACTTGATGTTTATACTCACATACTTGTAGAGAAGATCACTGAAATCTAGCTAGCCAGCCAGTGTCTATAGGTATTTGATTGCACTTGATATGTGTACTCACATACTTGTAGAGAAAATCACTGAAATCTAGCTAGCCAGCCAGTGTCTATAGGTATTTGATTGCACTTGATGTGTGTACTTACATACATGTAGAGAAAATCACTGAAATCTAGCTAGCCAGCCAGTGTCTATAGGTATTTGATTGCACTTGATGTGTGTACTCACACACTTGTAGAGAAAATCACTGAAATCTAGCTAGCCAGCCAGTGTCTATAGGTATTTGATTGCACTTGATGTGTGTACTCACATACTTGTAGAGAAAATCACTGAAATCTAGCTAGCCAGCCAGTGTCTATAGGTATTTGATTGCACTTGATGTTTGTACTCACATACTTGTAGGGAAGATCACTGAAATCTAGCTAGCCAGCCAGTGTCTATAGGTATTTGATTGCACTTGATGTGTGTACTCACATACTTGTAGAGAAAATCACTGGTATCTAGCTATCCAGCCAGTGTCTATAGGTATTTGATTGCACTTGATGTTTGTACTTACATACATGTAGAGAAAATCACTGAAATCTAGCTAGCCAGCCAGTGTCTATAGGTATTTGATTGCACTTGATGTGTGTACTCACATACTTGTAGAGAAAATCACTGAAATCTAGCTATCCAGCCAGTGTCTATAGGCATTTGATTGCACTTGATGTGTGTACTCACATACATGTAGAGAAGATAACTGAAATCTAGCTAGCCAGCCCGTGTCTATAGGTATTTGATTGCACTTGATGTGTGTACTCACATACATGTAGAGAAGATAACTGAAATCTAGCTAGCCAGCCAGTGTCTATAGGTATTTGATTGGTCTTGCTTTACCACAAAAAAACATATGTTTTCATAAAACTGAGAAAAAAAAACAGTTTGCATATATCTATTCATTAGCATAATAACTAAAAATTCTCATTTAACTCTTTGACATAAGATTTGTTCTAGTTAAATAATGGAATGTAATAGAAACTTGTTCACAACCAGAAAAATATAAAATGTTAAACACTCTAACAGTTCTGTATTTCCTTCCAGACTGAAAAACACCCTAAATCTTTTAACTATTAAATCCTGCCAACAGCAGTTCTGTATATGATTTTGATACTGAAGTTTTACATAGCTTGCACGAAAAATTAATGGAAAACATATATAAATCAGTTACTCTTTGATTTAAACCAATAAATATTCACCAAAATAAAAGATTTTTTTAACCCAGACTATACACCTGTTGCCAGAACATATCTCCAGATTCATATTCAAACATTCTTATTTTGACAATTTTTCTGAAAAAATTATGCCATTTACAGAAAATAATACAAAATTACTATCTTGGTTTGATATTTTTCTGCATAAAATGTAGGTACGTACGTACTCAATTCATGTATAAAAATGTTTAAATATTTTTTAATATTTGTATACTGGCATCAATAAGTACAACTTAAGTGATTATAAAGATATTTCTATTAATTTAAGTCTCTCTAAAATCTAATTTCAAACTATTCCAAAAATGCAATTTGTTCCATAAATAGTACTAAAAAATAAAATAACAAAAATGCCGAACTCCAAGGAAAATTCAAAACAGAAAGACCTTTATAAAATGACAAAATCAAATCCACATCTAACGAATGGAAAACTGCTGTCTTATTCCTGACTTCGTTCAGGCATTCCTTATGTAGAAAATGGTGGATTAAACCTGGTTTTATAGCTAGCTAAACCTCTCACTTATATGAAAGTTGCATAGAATTCCATTATATTGACAACAATGTGTGAGCAAAACAAATCATTTTTCCTTTACAGAAGTTGTAAAATTAATCTTATTCTCCAAACACTTTAATCTTATACAAAAATTAATTTGAGCACTAGTTCCAGTTCCAGATTTATTTCAAAAGAATATATATTTTGTTGTTGTATTGATTTTATAAAGCTCAATTACTTCTATCAGACATCCATTTTTTACCAAATTAATTCTTTTACATTTTAAACTAGCTTATCAAATCTTTGATACAGTTGTTTCAATCATTTTTGAACCAACAGGCTACCAATAAACTATGAATGTGACTATGAATTTACCTTGGAATTTAGTATTTTTGTTAATACTTTTTTTACATACTAATCTTGTCAACAAAGTAAAATTTAAATAACAATTAGTTTTGATCAATTTCTTTATCTTTTAAAAATGACCAATTTTCGTGTATGTAACAGTATGTGACACATTTAGCACCATGTTAAATGTTGGCAGGTACACACTATGTAGATATTGCACTTTCAACATCACACTACTGTCAGCTAGGTTGTTCTTCTAAAAATATTTACTACTGTTGTCATAACAACAGGTGGGTTCTTTCAAATCCTTGAGCTGTAAAGAACAAATATCTAGTAAATATGCAATAAGAGTATATATTTTGATGTGACATTTGTTTTAAGCAGATATTTATATGCACAATTGTAGTGCATTATGATATCTTAGACCACTTGGATGATTTCTGCTATCAATTCCCACAATTGATGACGGGATTAATTGGAATCAATGCTGTGCAATTCCAGTTGGTGTTTCTGTAATATTTCAATGATACAGTTGATCATATTTTACAAGTATTGGATTTAAATAAGAATAACAGTACTGCTGTGATTCACGAGTATCACTGCATTTGTGACTGTTAAACCCAAAAATGATCATGGCAAGTCTTGACATCCTTGTAATTATTAATTGTTAATGATTAAGAATACATTCAATTAGATTATTATTAATTTTGATGTTACATTTGTTCCTAGCAGAGCAAATGACCTCACTTATTAAGTCCTTTACCAAACATTAATTGCTTATATCTTCGTCAATTGAACTCTGGTGGATATTTGCATGTCTCATTGGCAATCAAACCATATCTCCTGAATTTAATATACAAGATTTCTTTATAAATCTGTCTAGGGTCAGGTCTGGTATTGGTTTTCTTTATGAAGACATAATGTTTCCAATATCATTTCTAAAGTAAAGTCAAGAACACTTAAAATATGTGATAAATATCTTTCACAAAGCCTATTTCCAATTTGGATTATACAGCCAGCCAATGCAATGGTAATGTGGGAAAATGTGTTCAAAATCACCTATTGTATCTACTTGTTGGTAAATCTTGTGCACTTAGGTACACACAAGCTTACAATTATATCTGCTTTTTCAAGATCAAGCCACAGTGAATGAAGATATTGCATACAACTTAGTCATGTTTAATATAAATTTAAAAAAACATTAAAATCAAGTATTTTGAATTTCTCTTTTTTTTTCCAAAATATAATTGAATCAATACATTTTGAAATAGATATTCATTTGTATTTAATGTACATTAAATGGGTGTAGACTTCTTAAAATTGTCTTAAATCATAAAATCTGCAAAACCAATTCATAGATAAAAAAATTTCTTAAGAAATAATATGTTGAACTTCATACATTTCATTTTCATTTTGGTTTTTATCTTGTAACTTATCTTTCACCATGTTGGTAGTGAAAAACATCAACATTACATTTTATGGCTTAACGCGCAAAGACATTACACCTATGTTTATGATTTATATTACTTGTTCAACAAGAAAACTACATTGACTGATTATACATCCAAAACAAGAGGTTCCTAAGATCTTGATTCCCTAACCTATCAAATTATTGCTGTTCACAATTTCTACCTATCTATCAGTTTTTGAGATACTAGGCAACAATAGCATATTCTATATTTTGCAACAATGAACATGTTGGCTATCAAATCCCTGGATACAAATTTTAAACTAGATTCCCTAAAAACATTATGGTAAATTTGGTCACATTAAGACTAGCAGTTTTAGAACCATTGAAGTGGTCTTAATATCTTACAATAACATATTTGTTTAAGAAAATATAATGTACTAGGTTTTGCAATAGTTTTTAAGGATAATTTTGAGAAAGTTCTATCAAGATTTTACCTGCATTCTATACAACTGTTTACCCTATTTAACAATGCCCATTCAATAATATTTTAGCTGTTATAACAGTTTAATAACTTTTGGGGGGATTTTTTTCAGTTAGCTTTTATCATGTCTAGGTTGAATGCCAAAACTTACAAAAATCTGTGACTATAGACCATTTACTGTTCCTTGACCTTAACCTATGTATTAAGGTTCTTATAAGTATTGGAAAATCAGTCTCTGCAAATTAAAAAACCTTTGTGAGCACACTCACATACCCCACATTGTCACTGGGCAAACAAAATCTCACCAGATTCCTAAGTAGGTCAAAGCCTCATAACTCCTACAAAAGTAAACTGATAAAAATTTCTTGTGAACATGCACATCTTCATATGATGTCCTTATTATTTACAAAGTTTCATAAAACTGTGTTGTGTGGTTTCAGAGGAGTTGCCATGACAAACTGTTGCAGAAGTATATTTAGGCCAAAATTTAAAGTTCAAAGAGGCTAACTCCTAGAAGAAAAAATTTGAATCATAAATTCCTGCTTATATGCACATCTACATGGTATGTCCTTATTATCTACAAAGTTTCATGAAATTCTGTTGTGTGGTTTCAGAGGAGTTGTGATGACAAGAACAGGACTGACAGACTGACTGGCGGACAGATGGACAGGTCAAAAACTTTATAACCTATAGAACTTTGTTTCATGGGGTATAATAAAGTTCTTCTCCATATGCAAGAGACTTGTATCTTTTGAGTTAACAGCATGCAGGAAATCAAGTTTCACATCAAGAGAAGTCAATACAAGTCAAACTTTTGCATTGGAATGTGTATTTTGAGAAAAAATATATTCTTTTAGCTTAGAATCCTAAAAACAGAAAAGTAAATTTTCAGACTTGACTTAACTCTCAATATTGGTTGATTACATTGGAAATATTTTGGCATTCAACTTTTTTTAGAGAAACTCAAGTCTGATAATTTCACATTTATATTTTATTTTATTATTTCATTGTTATAACACAAATCATTGTAATCATTGTATGAAATTTAAAACCCGCAAGGGTCCATAATTGGATTATTAAAGTATTCTTATTCTTATTCTTATATATATATATGTTCGACCTGTTAGTTAAATGCGTTTTGTTAAAATATACTTTTTCACCATTTTGGTCTTTTGGAAAATGTTGTTTGTGCTGTATTTAGACCCCTCTACCAAGAAATTTGTTCTACATGCACACGTATAAAAATTGCGGTTTTTATCCGACGCAATCATAGGTTTGAACGTTGTTTTCAATTTAGACTAGTATATATATATATATATATATATTTTTCCGTTTGGGCTTGTATTATATTTTCCTTCGGGTTTATATGATCCGTTCATCCTATTATGACTCTTTAAAATTCAAGAGTCTATCCTAAATTGAGGTAAATTATATGGCCTTCCAAATACCGTTTCGATCCCTAACATCACTGAAGAGACATTAATTGTCGAAATCCGGATATGGTGTATAAAACTTTTTGCACCTCATGTTTGTGGTAAATCATCTTTTCCACAAGTTTATTGTTTTCTGTTTGGTATTAAATTAATATTGAGATCCATTTTGTAGTAGTGATCAATTTATTTGGCAATCGCCAATGGCAGTCAGCAGGGTTTAAGAACATCCGTTGTTCGACCTGTTAGTCAAATGCGTTTTGTTAAAATATACTTTTTCACCATTTTGGTCTTTTGGAAAATGTTGTTTGTGCTGTATTTAGACCCCTCTACCTAGAAATTTGTTTTACATGCACACGTATAAAAATTGCGGTTTTTATCCAACGCAGTCAAAGGTTTGAACGTTGTTTTCAATTTAGACTTGTTTATATTTTTCCATTTGGGCTTGTATTATATTTTCCTTCGGGTTTATATGATCCGTTCATCCTATTTTGACTCTTTAAAAAGAAGAGTCTATCCTAAATTGAGGTAAATTATATGGCCTTCCAAATACCGTTTCAATCCCTAACATCACTGAAGAGACATTAATTGTCGAAATCCAGGTGTATAAAACTTTTTGCACCTCATGTTTGTGGTAAATCATCTTTTCCACAAGTTTATTGTTTTCTGTTTGGTATTAAATTAATATTAAGATCCATTTTGTACTAGTGATCAATTTATTTGGCAATCCCCAAAGGGAGTCAGCAGGGTTTAACAACAACCGTTGTTCGACCTGTTAGTCAAATGCGTTTTGTTAAAATATACTTTTTCACCATTTTGGTCTTTTGGAAAATGTTGTTTGTGCTGTATTTAGACCCCTCTACCAAGAAATTTGTACTATATGCACACGTATAAAAATTGCGGTTTTTATCCGACGCAATCATAGGTTTGAACGTTGTTTTCAATTTAGACTAGTATATATATATATTTTTCCGTTTGGGCTTATATTATATTTTCCTTCCGGTTTATATGATCCGTTCATCCTATTATGACTCTTTAAAATTCAAGAATCCATCCTAAATTGAGGTAAATTATATGGCCTTCCAAATACCGTTTCGATCCCTAACATCACTGAAGAGACATTAATTGTCGAAATCCGGATATGGTGTATAAAACTTTTTGCACCTCATGTTTGTGGTAAATCATCTTTTCCACAAGTTTATTGTTTTCTGTTTGGTATTAAATTAATATTAAGATCCATTTTGTACTAGTGATCAATTTATTTGGCAATCGCCAATGGCAGTCAGCAGGGTTTAAGAACATCCGTTGTTCGACCTGTTAGTCAAATGCGTTTTGTTAAAATATACTTTTTCACCATTTTGGTCTTTTGGAAAATGTTGTTTTTGCATTTCCCTCTACCTAGAAATTTGTTTTACATGCACACGTATAAAAATTGCGGTTTTTATCCAACGCAGTCAAAGGTTTGAACGTTGTTTTCAATTTAGACTTGTTTATATTTTTCCATTTGGGCTTGTATTATATTTTCCTTCGGGTTTATATGATCCGTTCATCCTATTTTGACTCTTTAAAAAGTATAAAAATTGCGGTCCAACGTATATATAAGTCTAAATTGAAAACAACGTTCAAACCTATGATTGTGTTGGATAAAAACCGCAATTTTTATACGTGTGCATGCAAAACAAATTTCTTGTTAGAGGGGTCTAAATACAGCACAAACAACATTTTCCAAAAGACCAAAAAAGTGAAAAAGTATATTTTAACAAAACGCATTTGACTAACAGGTCGAACAACAAATGTTCTTAAATCCTGCTGACTGCCATTGGCGATTGCCAAATAAACGGATCACCGATGTAATAAATGGATCTTAATTAAAAATTTAATACTAAACAGAAAACAATAAACTTGTGGAAAAGATGATATACCGCAAACAAAAGGTGCAAAGGTTTTTGTACACCATATCCGGATTTGGACAATTAATGTCTCTTCAGTGA